GGATTTTATTTCGAATCTACGACAAGTGTTATCGTATAGGGTAAATTCGTCACTTTCTCATGACGGATTTTTTCAAATAATATTTTTTATTCAAACTTATCACGTCGACGTAATAAATTCTGAATCATTATAACAAATACGATAGATCTCAAATTAATTATGAAAATGATCTAATAGGCCAAACTTTTGCCCACCTGGCCTATTGGGCCAATTTCACCGGTATGTTAGCCACTAAGTCTGGGAATCAAAGAGCCGGCAGGGGCTTTTAGGCCCATGTTATTTAGTTTTGTCGCGACGGTGATGACGAGTTTGGTACTAGTGGACGCCAATCTTTGCTTCCGTTTCCCAACTGTCAAAATCTCAGGAGTTGTTGAGTTCCCCTTCCTCGCTAACCTCGGTTTTATCGCTGCTGTCTAGGGTTTTCGATTCTTATCGCAATTTCCGATCTCAATCAGTATATTTTCCCAGTGGTTTACAAGAACTGAACCGTAACAGCATGGTAAGATCCTACTTTTCTTTTTATTATTATTTTACTTTGGCTGGATTTCCAGTCAGTTTAACATGCCTTGCATTGAATGCAATTCGGATTTCTTAACTTTGTTAAACTAGAATTTCCTGCTTGGAGCTTTCAAGCCGGCATGTAATATCTTGATCACATTTTCCGATGCAAAGACTCGCAAGCAGGTATGCTTCTAGATCATCTAAGGTTTAGTCTCTTTTAAATTGAACATTCAATTTTCATGTTATGTTTTAACTGTTGTGATTTGTTTATCCAAAATTTTCACGAATCGTAGTGCTGGAATCTGGATTATTATTTTGTTATTAGGTCCCAATGAAAAAGGAAAATGGCCAAACGGTTATGGTACCGCTTTTCCAAAGTCAAGAAAATATTGCTGGCAAGGTATTTTTTTCAAACATATTGAGGCTCATAGTATTGGAGTTTTGTGTTTATAGCTTTAAATTTACTCTTATCAACCTCAAATTTTTGAAGATTTTTCTTTCATTTTTGCCTTCAGATTTCCATAGAACCACTTCAAGGGAAGAAAATTGAACATAATGGTGTGAAGGTTGAGCTCCTTGGTCAAATAGGTTGGTCCTTGCCTCTTGTTCTTAGGTCTTTCCAAGTTTTAAATATCATTCTGATGTAGTAGAAAGTAGGGTTGAACATTTAAGAGTGTTGTTTTTCTCTGTTCTAATGAATTTACATTAACTTTGATTTTTCTTTTCAGAGATTTATTTTGACAGAGGCAACTTTTACGATTTTACCTCTCTTGGTGAGTACTGTACTCTGTGCTTACCTTGTTTACTCTGCCCGGAAACCATTAGATTTTCCTTAAGCAGCTTCAGGAATTATTTCCATTAGTTGCATGTGGCATGGATGAGGTTAAAAATAAGAGCTTAAGAGATGAATTTGTTCTTTGGAGTTTATGATATTTGTATAGTATTTCACTCTTTTAGAGGCTCAAATGCGCATGAAAAAAATTTCCGCGTATAATAAGTTCTTGTTGGCTGTTGATTGATTTTATTTTTTGTTGATATTTTTTACCTTCCCTATATTGTTTACCTTTTGTATATTTCTAATATTTGCAGTGCGTGAGTTAGATGTCCCTGGTGATATATATGAAAGGAAAACTTACCCATTTGAATTTTCTACGGTTGAAATGCCGTATGAAACTTATAGTGGTGTGAATGTGCGGCTTAGGTATGCTACTCACTGCTTAAACTCATTTCTTCTGGTCAATTTGAATGAAGTGGTTCCTTGATTACTAAAAGTTCGTTTTCTATGTAATTTCAAGGATTATAAATCAGTTTCTTATCTTGGTAATAGTTTTGTGTACTTACCTTAATAAAGATTATAAATTACTCATCCTATTATAGTTTGACTATTTCCTTTCATCAGGTATGTCCTGAAAGTAACAGTTAGCCGCAATTATGGTGGAAGCATAGTGGAACACCAGGACTTTATGGTAAGAAGCACCTAATTACTTCGTTCTTTTCTCTTTAATTTTTTGTAAGAAGCACCTAATTACTTCGTTCTTTTCTCTTTAATTTTTTTCTTTCTCGAATCTCTTTCTCTTTTGCTTAGCATAACATGGTGCCTCACTCTCATACGCACTAACATCATTAAGCAAATAAGCACGTACAAAGTTTTATATGTACCACTAAAGGCAGAACTTAAATGTCCGTCTTATGTAAAGATTGGAGTGCTTCCCTCCCTCATACCTGATATAATACTCATATACAGGAAAGTTAGCATCAATCTACATGTTTGTATTCGGTTTGTCAGTTATGTGGTCTTAGCAGCTTATCTTTTACTTGGTTTATACGTATATCAGGTTCACAATTACTCTCCACCTCCATCAATCAACAATAGCATCAAGGTCGGTGCAATTATTTTAGTTCTTATATGGTGATTGCATTGTAGATTTGATTGGTGTATGGATTGATTCTTATGAACATTACATTGATCATTTTACCATTTTCTAATGAGCTGCCCACCACTGATTTCGTTCATAGTATTTAATTCTAACAAAAAAAAAACAAATTTCATCTACAGATGGAAGTTGGAATCGAAGACTGCCTGCACATCGAGTTTGAGTACAACAAAAGCAAGTAAGTTGAACATGTATGGATCTAGCTCAAACCTGATATAATAGGCTGGCTTACTCATTGGGATTGAATTTGCTTGTAGATATCATCTTAAAGATGTTATTATTGGCAAGATATATTTTCTTCTTGTGAGAATCAAGATTAAGAATATGGATCTTGAGATAAGGCGTCGAGAGTCAACAGGATCAGGAGCAAATACCCATGTTGAAACCGAGACGCTAGCTAAATATGAGTTGATGGATGGTGCTCCAGTCAGAGGTATGTTCATTACTTGAAAATATATAGATTGAACTTGTATTCTTCGACGGATGTTAATTTGGGCTGAAATTTTCTTGTTCCGATAAATATTTAGACACCATTTTCCTAAAGCATAATGCTGACAGTCGTGCTTGGTATTGAAGGTGAATCGATTCCGATCAGGCTGTTTCTCAGTCCATATGAGCTGACTCCAACACATCGCAACATAAACAACAAATTCAGCGTGAAGTATTACTTGAATCTTGTGCTTGTCGATGAAGAGGATCGTCGGTATTTCAAACAGCAGGAAATTACGATGTACAGGTTGCAGGATTCCTGATCAAGCAATCTACATACATGTAAACTTTGACATTCCATCCCGTAAAGAACAACAATGATTAACTAACTTCGGTATCTTTGTAAAGCCTTGAAGCTTAGGGTTAAAAGTTTAAAAGTACTGGAAGACGGTTTGTTTATTTGGAAGAGCTATAATGGCTTTTTATACTTCGCTCCACTGCAGTCGTGCCGTTGCCGAGGGTGTAACTATATTTTGATACGGTCATCACGAGGCTGCCACCGCCGAAGGACATTATGGTTTACAGTCGGTTCATGTTCCATGTGCATTACTTAACAATGGCATGATTTTTCTCTCATTTCTTTCTAATCTTTCAAGTAAAACTTAAAACTTCCCGTTCCAAGCCCAAAATTATCCGACACGAAATATGATGATATAAAATATATCAAAATTTATATAAATACCCAATATATAAATTCATAAATGGGACAATTGGTTGGTTGGGAAGGTTTTAGATCGAGGAGGCCATTTGATTGTTATAATTTTTGGGTAATTTTTAGATTCATGTCATTAATTATGTTCTCATTTTTTGTTAATTTTTTTATCACAAACTGAGATATGATAAAATCTGATATTATAATCTCAAATGACTAATATTTTAATCAATATGTTAACGTCTAACTCAGACAACACGATGAATAGTCTAGTGATTATTTTGTAACTTTTAATAGTATAGGAACTCAACAAAGTAATTTCCTATAGTTGAGGGATTATTTTATAATTTTTAATAGTAAAAGATTCAATAAAATATTATTCTATAGTCGGTGATCATTTGTGTATTTTAACTATTTTTATTTGGATCGTTTTGATATAGTTAGAGTGCGAATTATTTCAACTTTGAATCGTTTAAGTTAGATGGATTCAAGTGAATTTATATTTTCTATGATCAAATTTAATTAAATTAAAATTATTCGAGTTTAGTTTTTTTTAGTACTTCAAGGGAAACAGTTAAATGAAACATCATCAAATTTCAAGATTATTATAATTTTCACAATAATTTGCGTAATTCTCAAATTATGTAAATTATTGCAGTATGGTATTCTTATAATGTAAACGATTATATTTAACATTTAAAATCAATTAAAACAATTAAAATTAAATCTAATTTACTTAAGCATAAACTATTTCAATAGTCCTTTGTTTTCGTTCTGATCAACTTTAATCACCGATTTTTTAATTAAGTGTTCTTGGTCCTTTAAGTTATTAGTCCGCTTGATTTAAGTCCTTTGGTGTTAACTTTTGTTAAATCAATAACGGAAGTCTAAGTTGGTAATTTAAATTAATCGATTAACGAAAGTTAACGACTAAGGGATTTACGTAAGGGATCAAGCGTACTTAATTAAAAAATCGGTGATCAAAGTCGACTGAAATCAAAGGGGATTGTTGACATAATTTACGCAAAAGTTTAATTGCTATGTCATACTTATGCTAATGGGTTAATAAAAATTAACGGGTGAGAGACTAAAATCGAACAAAAGACCAAACGAATTTAATTTTTGAATTGATGATTAAAATCGATTAGATCGAAAGCAAATGAGAATATTCTCACAGTTCTTTTACCCTTTATTTAGTTGATTAATCCGGTTTAATAATCTATTCACTGACACCTACAAAATGATGCTTGCGCCATCTGAACCACCGACACCTCATTTTCAGATCGGACAACCCAGATCTCTCCACGTGTCAAATTCGCAATACAAAATTCCAATTAAGTTGAGCCAAACGCGTCCTTAGTTTCATCCACCGTCGGTCGTCCCCATCATTTATACCACACCCATCTACGAGATATTACTCCATTGCTCGTAACTCTTCAGAATTCCCTTCAAACCTTAAGATCTTTCTACCTCAAGTGTGCAGAGGACAACATTGGCTTTTGTTTTCACGCCGTCGTATAAGATCACTGCGTCCTCTTCTACAAGTAAGAGGGATAATCTGGGCGGTTTGTTAGTTGACAGAGAGAAACAATGGAGCTCTTCTATTTCGTGGTGTTCGGTGCATTGGGAGCGGTGGTGGCAGCTCTAGAGCTGAGCAAGAACAACAAAGATCGAATCAACAGTTCACCTGCCTTCAATTCCTTAAAGAACAATTACCTTGTTGTTTACTCTCTCATGATGGGTAACTAACTCCCACTTATTGTTTTTTCCCTCTTTCTATTTACCAGATCTGTTTTTTTCCTTCATTTTATATGTTTTAGATATCACTTTTATTAGGCTCTAACATGTCTCTGATCTAATGCTGGCTTTTGTGCGTTGCGTGTGTGATTCCAGAACCTATTCCCTAGATTTGCATTTTTCGAGTGTGATCTGAATGATTTTTTTTGTGATTTGGTTTTACTTTTAGTGGATAATGTGTTTTGCTATATTAATCGTTACTTTTAAATGTCCTTACCGTTTTTTCTGTGCTTTGGAAATGGAGAATGGGTTCATCTAGATAAAGAAAACGGAAAACAGGATACATGCGTGTTTTGTTAGCTTTTATAAGAAAAGGAAAGATTAAAGAAAATGACTCCAATAAGTGTAATGTGGATTTTCGGTCCTTCTCTGTTTTGTGGTTGAGAAACTGATTTTTTTGTGTGTGGGGGGGAGTTGGAGATATGTTGCTATTGCTTTTGGTTGATGATGGTTCTGATAAAGAAACAGCCGAAATTGTGAGGATCAAACTATCATTTGTTCTTAGAGCTTAGAGAGGAAGTCATAAACTCCTGATTCTTGAGTTCTGTACAGTTGCATTAACTTCTTTAATAAGTTTCAGGGAAATAGTTGTTGGGATGATACTCTGGATTAAACAGTCTGAGATGCCGTTAATCATGGATTTGAACTCCATCAAAGTTTGTGGTTATTCTAGCTTTTGATACAAGTCTTTCGTGATGATGTATTAGTAACTTTCTTATTCAAATACGCATCATAAACATATTACGACTTCTATTTGAGTGATCTTTCTTTTGAAAGAAAATTTCCTAATTGTGGTTATTGGACTGATAAATTGTGTTTATGTATCAATAGCTGGAGACTGGCTGCAGGGTCCATATGTTTACTATCTTTACAGTACATATGGCTTTGGAAAAGGGGAGATTGGACAGCTTTTTATTGCTGGTTTTGGGTCATCCATGTTGTTTGGTACAATTGTTGGATCTCTAGCTGACAAACAGTAAGCTTTTCATCTGGCTTCTGTTGCTATCTTTTCATACTTAATTGATGAAAGGTCTTGTCTTAAATGTTAAAATGCCTTGCGTTTTATTCAGGGGACGAAGGAGGGCATGTGTTACTTACTGCATAACTTACATTCTTAGCTGCATCACCAAGCATTCTCCTCAATACAAAATTTTGATGATAGGTCGTGTTTTGGGAGGTATTGCCACCTCCCTTCTGTTTTCAGCATTTGAGTCGTGGCTTGTTGCTGAACATAATAAGGTGAGCAATTGCTTTTGTGCCCTTTACTCTTAGTGCATATCAGTGAAGCTTACAAGTTAACATCATATATGTGTTTTTGCTTATGTGCCCCTTACTCTTTAATATTCTGGATGCTATGTGTTGGTCTCTGTCAGGTTGTTTTCCTCCATGCCCTATTTTGGGGGAAAATAACAATGTTTGAGATATCTAGTTTACATCTCATACTGCGCATGGTACCTAGGAATATTCTAACATCGTTTCTTGAATTTTCCATCATTGTTTTCAAAGATGTCAAGGACTGAATCATCTGTTTCTGATTAGCTTCATTTGTCAACGAGCTGTGTCTGCAATCACACTGCATCATTGATGTCGATATCCCTTTAACTTTAATCATGATCTGACAATACTATTTCCACTTCTAATCTTTGCAGAGAGGCTTCGAGCAACAATGGCTGTCACTAACATTTTCTAAGGCAATATTTCTTGGAAATGGTCTTGTTGCCATTTTGTCTGGGTTGTTTGGGAACCTACTTGTTGATTCATTATCCCTTGGACCTGTGGCTCCTTTTGATGCTGCTGCGTGTTTTCTTGCTATTGGAATGGCCATTATTTTATCATCATGGACTGAGAATTTTGGAGATCCCTCGGAAAATAAGGACCTGCTTTCCCAATTTAAGGGTGCTGCTGTAGCAATAGCTTCTGGTAGAGTTCAACACTTAATTTAGACTCATGCATTATCTGATTGACATGTTACAGGCCAAGTATTGTCTCTTGATACCTTGTTGTCAGTCATCCTTCATCATGCATTAATTCTTTCCTTTGTTTTCCCTTTGTCCTCTTTCTTAGTCTAATCTTTTCGCACTTCAGATGAAAAAATTGCCTTGCTGGGTGCCATCCAGTCTCTGTTTGAAGGTTCAATGTACACCTTTGTGTTCCTTTGGACTCCTGCTTTGAGCCCCAATGATGAGAATATCCCTCATGGTTTTATTTTTGCCACATTCATGTTGGCTTCTATGTTGGGAAGTTCCCTTGCATCTCGATTGATGGCTCACTCGTCACCCAGGGTAGAAAGCTACATGCAGATTGTTTTTGTAGTTTCCTCGGCCTCTCTCTTGCTTCCAATTATAACTAATGTATGTTCGGACATCCTCTCCTCTCCCTCTCCTCCCCCTCTCTGGAATATTCTATTGAATTATTCCTAACTGGACGAATCTGTAACAGTTTTTGGTGGCACCTCCTGAAGTGAAAGGTGGAAGCATCTCGTTTGCAGGTTGTCTACAGCTTCTTGGCTTCTGTACTTTTGAGGCATGTGTTGGGATATTCTGGCCATCCATTATGAAAATGAGATCCCAGTACATCCCGGAGGAGGCTAGGAGCACCATTATGAACTTTTTCCGCATTCCTCTCAACATCTTTGTCTGCGTTGTGTTGTACAATGTATGCTATACACTTCTTCTGACCAAAAAACACAAAAATGCTTTGCTATAATAAGCTTCACCTGATCATGTGCCATAGACGGATACATGCATGCCTCGGACTCACCAAGCTTCAACTCTATTACTAACTAGCTGTATTGATTTTTGCTGTGTAGGTTAATGCATTTCCCATCACTGTTATGTTAGGTATGTGCTCGATCTTCCTCTTTGTGGCATCTATCTTGCAAAGACGGCTGATGGCAATCTCAGACAAGCCGAGTAAGTACACGATACCATATCACACCAAACATCCTTCATCTTCAGATTTTTCTATTCTGAACGTGTCGATGGTTCTCTCTTTCAGAGATTGAAAATTGGACAGCTATGAAGGAAAGGGACACAGAGGCAGAGCCACTAAATGATTGAGTCTACAGGCCTGGGTTCTTGGTAGGTTGAAAGCAACAACATAACCAATTCCCCATGCAGTTGCAGTTGATGATCGGAGAGTTTGTACGTTTGGTTTCATGGTAATGATTACAATTTTGTTAGAAAATAGTAGTCTCTGCTCAATAAAGAAGATGTGGGGTCTTTTTAGTCTTCATGATTTGTTTTGGGCATTAAAAATAGTGGAGTAAATACCAAGTCTTTCCGAATCTGATAATATTCTCTTGCCTGAACTTCTTTAAGATTGTCAAAACAATCTCTTTCTTTGTATAATTTTCAAAATTTTGAAGTTCACAAACAAATTTGTTACTACAACTGTAACCTAAGGAATTTAAGAGCAGCCCAGGGGGATGGCTTGAAGATGATTGCAATATTCAAGAAATCACATGACTAGAGCCTCCAAGTATATTAAAGAATTGTCCACTCAGGTATTTTGGGTCAAAGATGACCGCGTATACATTATCCAAAATTACAAGAGATGATCATTAATTTTCATGGTCTTTTGCCGGTTTCCACAATGATTCTACAATCCTCCATGAGTTTTGAACATCCGCTCCGCAAGCTTATCTATGGCTTTCATTCCTAGGAAGTAGTGACATGGCGGATTGAAGTGAATCCCCCATCTTTTCTGTCAAGCTTGAAACTGTGTTCTTTAATGGTTCATAACTCGTTTCGTCGGGAGCGGTCTTGTCGTGTTCTGGGACCTGAAGTTCTCTCTCCAAATATCTCCCGAGACTTACCTCTGCAATGTTGACGAGTCGGAATGAGGCGTTTGTGTGCATGAATTTCGTGACGATAAATCCAGCCAAAATCTGCTGATCTGCCTTGACAAGCTCCGATACGAACATGGGGAACAAGATTCTTGCAAATAGAAACAAGATGTCTCCCTTGGTGTTCCCATGCTCATTGCTTCCTTTCTTTCCAAGCCTTGGCAATTGTGCTTCTTGGAACTGGCGAGAGAGATTGCCTACTACATAGCAGACATACGAGAAAACCGTGCCGAAGGAAGGTTTGTTGATAACAGTCATAAAATCCCCGAGGAGAGGACCGGCATTAAGAACTCATGGTCACTGCCTATGTTGGATGTACCTTCCTGTTTCAACCTGCTTTCGAGCGCAGTCAATGACTCTAACTGCAAACCTTCATAAGGCAGTAAAAGCATCATCTTTGAAGCCACGAAAAAATCCACTCCGACTACAATGTCATTCAAGCTCCTCGCATCACCTTCATCGAGCAATACTCCACCGGATTTGGAAATGGACTGGTCAATCAACTTTAGGACATCTCTAACTCGAGATGCTTTAATAAGGCCCTTGAAAACCTCTGTCCAGCACTTGTGTAAAGGATGGATCAAAAGATGGTCCCCTTTCTTTTCGTTCTCCAAAGGTTCAATTTCCTGAAAGCTCTCCCATCCTTCATCCCAATCATCGTTGCTCCAGTTATTTTCTGCATTAGTTAATACTGCGGAGGCTTCCTCTTCTTTCTTAATCACAAAAAGCCCTTCCCATTCATCCAAAATGGCTACCAAAACATCATAATGAGGATACGCATTGGCAACACCACACAATTTCAAGAAGCAAGAAACTGCTGTATCAACAGTTGAGAGGTAGTCAGGCGTAATTTCAAAGCCCGGAGAAATGGCTGCCATAAGTTGAGAAGACCTGAGGGCTACTAAAGTACTTGTAAACCTGCTGGAAGTATCTATTTGCTCAGGCTACCCCTCGTTTAATGTATTTCGGCCCTTGTTACCAGCATAAAGAGGCTCATCCCACCCTATCCATGGATGAACATTTAGCTGCAGCTCAGACGATAAACCCTTCATACTTTTACCAGTTATAAATTGCATAAGCTCTAGGACATTAACTCGAACATTACTAGCAAGCAGCAGATCTACGGTGAATCTGGCAATTCTTTCCCAAACTGCAGACCTTACTTTCTTTAACTTATCCAAATCATCTTCCAAATTGCTCAGAGATGACATCAACTGATATAATTTTTGGTGTTCCTTACGTCCAATAGCCAAATCTTGTAAAATTGGCTCTAATACTTTCAAGTAAAGATGAGAAATGTCCTGGAATTCAGTGGCAGCTGGTGCAGTAAGAGTGGTTACATGGTGTTGTAGCGCTTCCACAAAAAGTTCGGAAACAGATGCAAAACCACAACCAGAAAATATCATGGCTCTGCAGAAAGTAAAGATGTCAAGAGAAGGGTTACCAATTAAACCATGGTTGACGTAGTCAACAATGGTGCTCCAGCCCTGACTAGGAGAAACAGAGTCCTCCATTACCAACCTCATGAAAACCTTTAAACAACTCATTAAGCAATCTGGGTGGAAGCTGTTTTTCTCAACAGAAATCTTGGTGGAAGCAAATTCTTGCATTTCTTCAGTCAATCTGAGCCAGAAATTCAAAAGGAAGATCAGGCAGTCCTGCCATGTTGAGTTATCAGGTATATTCCCGTAAGCACCATCTGGCGGTATAATTACAATGAAATATTGCTTCATAATGTCCAATGCCTCCGAAGGTTCCAACAGTTTAATATGTTTCCTACACAAGTCATATATCTGCTCTAGTTCACTGCTTATGTTCAGAAAATTTTCGGGGTTCTTGATGCTAAACTCTTCTGATTCTGTCCTTCAAATTTGTCAATGAACGCAGTATATAATGTTTGTGGACATCCTGCCATGATATGAGACCTTCAGACACTGGATCCTTTTAGATGCTTACCAGAGTCTTTACCATTTCAGACAAAGCTTCCAATCTAAATTCGTCTGTATGAGCATAGACTTCATTACTGAAACACTGCAGATTCAAACCACCTAATCCAGTAATATTTTTGAAGTTTAGGCCTTTCACAAAGGAAATTCTTTTACATTCTTGCTCAATAACCTTGTAGTAATGACTTAATCCCAGAGAAAATCCACGTGATTGATCGGAGAGTATCATTGGTAAAGGTTCTTTGCTTTCATCTAATTTCTTATAGCAGTCAGAGAGGAGGCTATAGATGTAAGCAAGGCGATGCTTATTGCAACCATCAACTGCAGGGTATACGATCAATGATATGGTTTTGATAGTTTCAGCAGCATAATCAAGTATTTCTCCTTTAATTTCTGAGATCTCAGCCATTATATCATCATTGGTCCAGATCTCAGAAATAAGGATTAAAGTTAAGTACCTAAGGATTACCTGAAAAAAATGTCATTTAATAGTTTAAAAGGGCAGACCACAATGATCTACCATTGAGTTAAAAGAAGTATACACGTGTGGCCACATACCTCTTCTCTGTTCAGACCATAGGTATCGGTCAATTTCAAAATATCCTTCAAAATGTGCTTCTTCTCCAACTGTAGAGAATCAATTAGAGAAAAGATGACACTCAATGTAACTGGAATCACCAGACAAAAAACGTGCATTTTCAACCCCAGGGATTATTTGCTCTAAGAATCTAGAATGTTCTGCTACACGCTTTTTCTCTTCTAATTTCAATTTCCATTCCCTCCAAAATGAGGATTGTACTTGATCGATCCTATTTATATCATCTGAAAACAAGCAAAAGTGAAAAGGAATATCATCATCACATGGAAGTGCATGTAGGATAGTGTGAGCAAAATTAAGTGGTCTTGCTTTAAGCAGTTAACAACGGGAATTAAGTCTGTTACCAGCATTAAGTGGCGAGTTCTTTGCTCTAAACTTTCCAAGGAGCAACTCCCTCCTCTGAGTAGGACCTTCACAATCAACTCCAGTATTATGTAATATGCTATAGGTCATTCCAACTTTCACAATACTACAAGTTTCAAGGTAGTTTTCCCTGTTCTCAACTGCTCTTCAATCACTTGCACCCCACTAAAAGCATCCACAAGATTTAATAGGAAGGAGCAACCGATGACATCTTCCTCTTCAATAACTGGTGGTTCTAGAATTGATTTTGCCAGAGAAGTAATCAAATCATCTCTGGGAGCAAAACCGTTCCTTGCCAACCAGGACAAAATAGTTATTACAGCATGTGTTCTTACACTTACATATAGCTTCCCAGGAATCAAGCCAGAAGTGAATTTCTTACTGAAATCTTCTTTTCTAGTTAATTTAAGCAACCAAGGAAGTTGTATGGCAGCAAAAGATAAAATCTTTCCATTTTCTTGCAAAAGCAGGTCCCAATTTGTCCCATTTTCAACAGGAGGAATTTTAGCAACAATAGAAAGTGTATTTTTAATACTACTGATATGAATTTCTTGATCAGTACTATTAAACTCATCAACCAGTTCAGATGAATTTTTCAGGTCAACAATAACTTGAACACTGTAGCCTGGAAGTGAGATGACTGAGGAACCTTGAATGGAGAAATTTGGATAATTTGTCCCCGACAATGCCATCAAAGTCTCACATTGCCCTTGCATGTCTAAATCTTTCCATGCATGGAGCAACTCATTAATTGACTCCTCATCACAATGGCTCAAAGCAAAACCCAATAGCTGCTTTCGAGAACTTATATCCATATTCTCAAGAGGACCCCTTGCTAGTGCAGCACATAAATCCCAAACAAGACCATGACCCTTTTTGGCCAAACCAAGGCAGAGATCAAAGGCCAACTGCAGATCACCAGCAACCGCAGCTTCTCTAGCAATAATTTCCTCCACGGCTGATATTTCATCCAAGGAGTTCAATCCAAGAAGTTTGGCCACCTCAATTAGTTCATCAACATGTAGATATGCTCCAGCTTGACTTGAGACTGCCATTTTAATAATTTCCATAGGATCTTTTATTTGCCTAAATTGCACTGGTAGAAGAGTCACTCCAAGGTATGGGAGTTTAACTGTAAGTGCATCAATGATATCAGCCTCTGCTTTAACATTTCTGCTACTAGGAAATAAATTCAGACATTCCTTAGCCTTCCAGATCTGAAACAAGTTACAGCAACACAATCAATACTTTGCTTTTTGAACGAAGAGAAGAAGATAAATCAGTATATTTCGTTCCTTTTGACATCATTGAACCACAAATGTGAATCAATGCTGTCATCAGCTTGTGACTAAAATAGCTAAATTCAATTGAACCATGCATGTGATCAAATCTTTTATAAGGAAGTTACCAGAATTTCGGACTTATTATAATATCCTGTGTATACTAAACCATGAACCGACTCCAAACTTACTTCTGAGCAAGACAGTCTTGAAGCTGAGAAGAAATACTCCCTTGCAGCTTGAGTAACAAGATTTTCTGCTTTTTCTGTTGCTAAGGATGCTGAACTTGTACCCCTTAGGTAACTTCTTGCAAGCGAAAACTTCCCTGCTTTTAGAAGTCCTCTGCAGAACTCTGTTAACAGATATTCAAGATCAAGAAAAGGAAAAGCCTTCTCCCGCAAGCACAGCATATCACGCCACATGTTCGCCCACTCATTATCAGATCGGCTAGGCTGTCTGCGAATAAATTTTGAAAGTATGAGGCGGATAATCTGTTTTACACCTTTTTCATCTGAATGGGCTTCTAAGAAAAAGTTCATTGGTTTTGGGACCTGTAGAAAAATATCACCAACATAGACTTAGTCTACCCATACTGATGCTTAAACACCTCAGACTGATGCTTAAACAGGAAACGATTTAAAATAAAATCCATACTCACAGTTGGCATGCTAAAAGCATAGAAGAGTGAAGACAAACCTGGTAAAAAGCCAAAAGCCTCCTTGCTTCAATATGGCCTTCTGCTACTTTACATCTTTGCTCAAGGATGCCAATACATATTTCAGAATCTGAAAAGTAATTATACATGGAGAATAAGAGATCAAGGTGAAAAAAACCGAGGCCTAATATTATAAAGGGATATGGAATCGAAGAAGTTGGGAGACCCAGGTAGAGAAACAAAAACAACTCAAACCCTTACAGGATGAAAAGAGGACAGAAAACCGGAGCAGATAGGTTCTACTAAATCTTAATTCATCCAAAAATTAAAAACCTTATATACACTTATCTCCTAAAGTATGAGCTTTTTAAATACCCCTAACAGCATGGAGGATATAACTAGTCTGCACAATTCAAGAACAAGACCAAGAAAAATGAGATTCATAATTTTTTCTGTCCCTTCAAACTTCGTGCAATCATAAAGCTAATAAGTGATGGAAAAAAATGCAAAAACAGATACGAAATAAGTAAAGTGAATAATATTTTGGGAAGTTGGATTCATTTGGGGAAAAAACTACCTTGCTTATGTGGAAGCTTTGACAATATTGCCGACATAGTGCTCCACCTATCTGTAACTGTAAATAAGTACACACATTCCAAAGCACAATCTACAACTTCAACCTCATTCTTGAAGAAGCCACTGCTTTGGAGCTCCCGACACCCTTCCTCAATGACCATCAAGCTTATGTCTAATTTATTGGCCAAAGAAATCTCTTTTAGCCATCTAACCAGGAATGAGCCAGCCTCAGTACGATCCACTACAGAATGGCCATCTGCAATCTGATCTTGGTTAGCCAAGGTAACACTGTAGGACCTTTTGTGCATAAATGGGATTGCCTTGTTCCGTAATGATTCCACCACATTTTGCTCTTTGCACCCATGAAGCATTGTTTTAAATTTTTCATAGTCAGATAATTGTTCCCATGAAACAAGGCTCATATTGATACTCATTTCACCATCATTATCAGCATAAACCAACTGGTGCAGGTACGAGATATCCTCATGAAACTGCTTTAGCTCATATATACCCTTCTGGCAAGCAAAGTCAATCAAGCAGAGGCAGTTGTCTAGCAACCCACTGTAGGAATCAATATCTCTAGCTCTATGCTTATACCAAACTGCAAGTTTGTCTGTTGAAGGCCAAAATGATCCTAGCAACCTCTTGACAACATGTTCAGTTCTGATTTGACTGCTCGTGTCTTGGTTCACAGTTAATTTATTAATAAAGCTTATCATATTGTCACATTCAACCCAATCTTCTTCCCTCATAGTGGTACTTCCTGGAGGTGACTTCCCAGGAAGCAGCTGCACATATGTTTGCACAGGAATTGTTTCAGGAATAGCAGCCAAGATATCTAACATGAAATGAACCAGTGAATATGGATGACGCTTGAACAGGAGGTTTAAAGCCCCAATTTTTCCATTTTCAGCAAGTCTAATGGCTGCTTCATTCATTGGCATAACACGGAATTTGCTATACTCCTGCATGGAAAACCTACAAACCCCATGTCATTAAATGGTTAATCAGTAGAAACAACAGAAAGTGGAAAACCTCCATACAGCCAAATCTAGAAGTAGCAGAATTAACTATTAAAATTTGGAAAGCACGTACCTGCTCATGTTTATCCCAAGAAACGTTTCCAACCTGTCACGGAATTGCAACAGCTGAAGTCTAGACATACGGAAATCCCAAATCTCGTCAGATTCTTGGTTGTTTGATTCAGAAAATTTGAATTTGCTAGTTATCTGCAGGCCATATGCAAGTAAAGCCTTTGCTGCTTCTTCCGATGCTCCAACTTTATTTACACACTCAGAAAGCACAAAAGCTTTATCTTTAATGTTTGACAGAAATGCATTTATTTCATTGAATCCCTGGTCAGAACCTAACCACTGTGATTTTAGAACTTCATCCCTGTCTAATCCATGACGATCAGCAAAGTCCAAGGCAGCTTGATGCTTGGAATTATCAATTAGCATCTTATACATTTCAGGAACAGATCTCTCTGAGAATGATATCAAACTCCAACGCAACTTAGAAATGTCAGATTGCTTGGATGCATCTTCATAAGTTTCCTCTTGTTGATGCAACTCATTTGTTATTCTATTACCATTAGATAAATCAAGCCCACCTTCAGATGATAAACTCTCTAAAACAAAAAGATATCCTTCAAACTGATGCACCCTTTCTAAAACAGGCTGAGAATATACAGGTTCATTCTCTGTTAGTTTCAGACCACTAAGAATGTCAAGCATAGTAACAAAGCCATTTCTTTTACCAAGAGTGAGAATGTGGTCAGACCACCAAGTAAAATCAACAATTTTGGCTAAATTTTCTGAGCATTCATTTAACAGTTTATCAGTCACTTGAGAATTAGTTCTCACTTCGAAAGCAAAATTTGTAACCAAATAGCTTTCTTTATCCAGCTTAAAGATATGCAAACATCCATTCATACTAAAGCGGCAATATAGTTCCCTTGGGGTGAGATTAACACCTTTGGGTAAGCAAGATGAGCTGCATAATCTTTTAGTTCATCGTAAAAGCCCTCAAATTGAGTAGAGGCTACTGGGTCCAAAACCAAATCCCGACCTTTACGCCAAAGAGAAAGATAACAGGACCCTAGGGAAAAAAGATTTAAAGAAAAATCATGAAGTCTGAAACTAAAAAGTGAAAATGGTAAAAATTCAACTGTTCATCCCAATCCTCTATCTTACGGATACAGATGCTTCATTTATTCAGTCTAATAAATGACTGTTCAAATTTAAAATCTGAGTTTTCATTTAAGGTCAAGGAGAATAAAGTATAAAACCATACCAGATTTCCTATCAGTAGTAATTGCGCTGCCACCAGCACCACCAACAATAACAAGAAAAGAAGATTCTGGATAATAGTCAAAGCAGAAAACATTCTGAAGGAATTGCCTTTTTAAAGCTAAGTCCCTGTTGATTGTGGAGAAAATAGAGGCCCTTGGGTCATGACTGATCTCAATATGATGAAAAGCTCCGTCAGATGTCAAAACAGTGAAGCTACACCTGAAAACAAGCCCATTAATTTCATGCAAGCTCTAATTCTTCACCTTTTACATTACTCAAGTAAATTTAGAAATCCAGGCAATCTGAACATCAAGCAAAGGTGGTTATATGAATTCAAATTGTAAAGGAACTAGCACTGGGGAAACAAAAGCTTACAAGAAAGATTGCTTCACATCAGAATCATCCGGTGCAATTAGACCAATTACTTTTGAAGATACTTTTAGATGCTTTGAGGTAATCCTTGTTATTTCTTCACCATTTGCCTTAATAAAATATATTACATCAGCATCATCAACAAATCCAAGAATATCATGAGATTCTGACCAAGCTCCACAGGTACATGAAATAATGCTAGTACCTGATGCATGGAACCAAGTTGGAAACAGTAATAAACAACAAAGGTTGTCTTCTATAAAGCATTTATATATCTAAATTTAACTTATAAGAAATATCTTTTCTTCTTCCTCGTGCCATAACCTAAGATGAGTACAATCCTATAGCAAGAACACGTTTCCTGTAGTCATAAAAACTCAAGGGTTTTATGAATCTAAATTGCCCTAAAAGGTTTTATGCTTCCATCAGTACAAAGAACTCAAACATATGTTCATCGGAATAATAATTTAACATAAATTTGATGACATATATCTTACTAGTAAAAATGCCAAAAGGCTCCAGGTAATCCTCCTCCTTGCACAATATAGTGACTTGATTTCCAGCAGCCACAGCAACACGCTCGCCTCTAGGGGATACAATCAAAGCCACTGGTCTTTTTATCTTCTTCGGATTCTTGGAGCCAACCCATTTCTCTTTAAGCTGACTTACACCTTCATTGAACAACAGCCCTGCAAATGAATTAATTATTTTATAAAAAAAAATAGTTACTAATCATATCAGTATCACCAATTGAATTAGACCAAAAAGAAAATGCTTTTAAATCTAGTATACCTCTAGCGGAAAGAAACGATAAGAAACCGCCTTTATCAGCTTCACTTGACTGAATTTAGAGAGAGAGAAAAGCAGAAAATTGTAAAACTGAGTTGATTTGTCAAGAATAAAAATAAAAGTCGAAACGAAAGGAGCAGACCTGTTGGAGAGGAATAGGAGGATAATTGGAAGTGAAAGGCCCGGACGCGTGATGAAGTGCTTCGTAAAGCACTTCTCTAACGGATTCCTCCATGGCCGCCTGCTACTGTCTCCGTTCTAAATTCAAATTTAGTTTTATTTTACAATAAAATTCATATCAATTTTATCTTTGACTATATTGTCATTGGTTGGGTGATGGATAGGGGGGGAGACTCACCCTATTTCCTTGGGTAAAGGAAACAATGAAGTTTTAAGTTGATGATCACCTCCGACCGATTGATTTAAATGAAAACTGATGGAGCTCTACAAAAAAACTGGCCTGACAACTTGTGGCGGAGTGGTTCGCTATGGTGTTGGACTAATGAAAATGAGCTTTGCTAATTATCTTGTAGACGTACAACCTTATAATTAACTGCATTCAGAGAGGAAAAGCATTTACTGTTAGTTTCTAAAACCAAATCTTTAAGACTAGGAATTGTTGGGCCTGTTCCCGAGAGAACGACCCTCCAAAAATAGGCGTATGCCGCTATGAGCGGCGAGCACACGGTATTCTTTAGTAAAAGGCAAAAAAGAATAGTTCGCTTTGTACTCACCGTACGACTCCGTGAGTTGAAGCAAAGCACTTGAACCTTAATTTATATAGTCACTTGGGTTGCACTGGGTTATCTCTTAACGATATGGGATTCTTATCTTTCCTGCTTCACATGTTGCTCTTCAGCCTTCAGCCTTCAGCCTTCAGCCTTCAACCCTCAAATCTTCTTAAATATCATCTTTTATCTTTCATCCTTTGGTATATACCCTTTAACCCCACAGTTCTACGCATGAATTTATCCTCCTCTGATCGAAGAGAATTCTTTAAATGATGAACATGGCAGTTGAGAAATTTTGTTTTTTTTTTTTTTTTATCTTCTTCAGGCTCTGTAGTTCCTTTAGTTTGTAGCATTTCAATTGGGAAAACCCCACAATCATTTCGAAGCAAAAACTTGATTAATCAACATATTTAAGAACCAACTCTCAGTCAAGTTGATCTGCAACCATTTAAGTTAACAACAGTTCAAAGACGTAGAGAGTTTTGAAAATTGTCAGTGGATCAAAACCTGCAACCCAAAAGCTTCGAACTCACACTGGGATTTGGGAGTTTCAGTGAAACGTCAATGGAGTTTACCGGGTTGCATATGTAGGTTCTTTTGGCAGATATGAACATTCGCCATTGTGGAATCTGTTATCAAAGGAAGCTTTGCTTAATCTCGTTGGCGAAGAACAAAATGGAAATTTAAATTAATTCAATTGTTTAATCTAAATAATTTACAAAGCACTCGTTTATTATTTATTTTTTCATTTGAAGTAGATTCGATTGCAAGGATGGTAAGTGGTATTTTCTATCGAAGTGTATTTATTCGTATTTATCTGCAGCTACTGGTACAGGCTTGATTCAAACATTTGGAGTGCTGTGTACAAGTACACATGAGAAATACTTCAAGTTCAAAGCTGGCTATGATGAGAGGTTCGTCTCTGCTAGTTGGCTGGGCTTCCATATGGGTAAGTTCTATTTGCTGAACTCCGATCATTGAAGGCGAGGCTTATGTTGTTTACATGGATCATTGAAGGAGAGGCTTACGTTGTTTACATGGATCATTGAAGGCGAGGCTTACGTTGTTTACATGGCCCCAATAACCCTTCGTTTCATCGTTTCAGGCTGGAGATGAAAATGGCAAGGCAAGGACGGCCCAGATGAAGATGAAAGTTCAGTTTATGTTACAGGTACCACAGGATGACGGTAAGTCATCATCGCTAACGTTAGGAGAATATTGCAGAAATTTAGATTTGTGATTCACTGTATACTTGTTACAAAATAATACAAAGCAGAAAGTTTGATGCATTTACAATGCAGTTGTTTTCATGTGGAGGGTTAGTTTATCCAATGTAGCACAGATTTCTTCTGTTCTCTTATGAGATTTGTCATATGCAAGAAATACATGTACATCATCCCTGTCTTCAATCCAACTACATCCTGGGATCTTATGCATTCCAATATCTTTGATTTTTCGTCTTGTTCTTGCTAGATCAGACCATTTTCCAGCATAAGCATATAAATTTGCCAAGAGTACATAGCTTGCGGTGTTATTCGTCTCCAACGCTATAAGTCTCTTTGCTGCGACTTCCCCCAACTCAACATTGCCATGAAGAACGCAGCCGCCGAGCAAGGTGCCCCACATCACTGAATCAACTTCCACAGGAACTCTCTTGATTAGTTTATAAGCTTCAGTAAGCTGACCAGCTCGACTTAACAGATCAATCATGCACGTATAGTGTTTTATCGTGGGTTTGACATCATAGTGCTGCATCAGATCAAATAGTTCCCGGCCCATCTCGACTGACCCGACATGAACACATGAAGTAAGAGCAGAAAGAAAAGTGACATGATCAGGCCTGGAGCCATTTGTTATTATTCTTCTAAAGAGAGCAATCCCATCCTCCCCATGTCCATGCATGGCATATGCTGTAAGCATTGCATTCTGGGACACCAAATTTGGCTCTAAAATTCTATTATATGCTAGTAGTGCATGCTGTATACTCCCACATTTGGCATACATATCCACAAGAGCTGCCCCTACGTAGACATCGGCATCATAGCCACATCTAATTGCATGCGCATGAACCTGTTTTCCCCTCTCAATGGTAGCTGACCTTGAACAAGCAGTTAGAATTATTCCAATAGTATAAATGTCAGGCCTCATATTTGAGGTTTGCATTTCAGAAAACAACTGCATGGCTTTATCATGTAGGTCGTTCTCCACATGACCTGCAATAATACCATTCCACGAATAAACATTTGGCTCGAAACCATCTTCTCTCATTTTTCTAAGCAGACGCTGAATGTCTTCAATCTGATTGCAGCGGGCATAGCCAGATATCAAAGCATTCCATGTTGCCGTATCACGTTCGTTTACTTCATTAAAAGCAATTTGAGCAGCCTTTAGCTCTTGGCATTTACAGTACATTTCTACCAAGGCTCCCCCAACAAAGGTATTGGCTTGAGTGTGTATCTCTTTCCCAAGTCTCAAAGAAGCCATGTTTGTGCAAGCGGATAGAACACTCCCTAGAGTGAAAGAATCAGGTTCGATCCCGTCCTCTGTTAAAACATGCTTAAATAAGTTCAAAGCTTCATCAAGCAAGGAATTGTTCACGTATCCAGAAATCAATGTGTTCCACGAAATTATATCCTTCTTGATACCGATAGTCCTCATCTGATTGAACAGAGCCTTTGCCTTGGACACAAGACCATTTTCACAGTACCCAACAATCATTGTATTACAAGAGACCACATTTTTCCGTGAGAACTTTGAAAACAATTGGAAAGCACTTGTCATATCACCACACCTCCTATACACGTCAATTAACCCATTGACAACAATGGGGTTAGACATTAACCTATGCCTCGTGATATATCCATGAAATTCTTTGCCAAGGCTCAACTTCTGTAATCTAGCACAAGCTGGAAGAACACTTGCTAGAGTTTGGGCATTCGGATCGACGCCTTCTCTTACCATTCTAAACAACATCTCAATGGCTTCCTCATCATAACCATTTTGTGAGAAACCCCCAATGACTGCAGTCCAAGAAACAAGATTCGGTCTCGTGTTCTCGCACGACAATGACATTGTTTCGAAAAAACACAACGCCTCTAACACCTTTCCGTTGACAGCACAAGCAGTGAGAACAGCATTCCACGACACACAGTCCTTTTTAGGCATCGTCTCAAAGACTTTCTTAGCATCATCCAAGCTTCCACATTACCATACATATCAATCAAAGCATTACCTACATAAATATTAGAAACAAACTGATATTTAATCAGAATCCCATGCAATTGTCTTCCTATTTCCAAGTTGCCATGGCCGCTAGAAATTTTCAATACAACAGGAAACACAAAAAAGTCCAATAAAACATCGTCGAATAGTAATCTCTCGAAAAGACAAAAAGCTTCTTCGAAAAGCCCGTTGTCGACATACAAGCTAAGCATGGCTGTCCAGGAATACAAGTTTCTCAGCGTCATTTTATCGAACAATAGATCCGCATCACCCAAACAACCCAACTTCCCATACATCTGGAGCAACTTGGTGTCCACAAACTCCTGCCCGAAAAACCCAGTCTTGAGAGTATGAGCATGAACCTGTTTTCCAAGTATTGGGTCATTGCAAGATTCAAAAATTGAAGCATAGGTGCTTGCACCGACTGGTTTATCAAGCAAGGAGAGGGTGTTGGTCATGTGAGAGCAAGGCTTAGGGGGATTTTGATTCAGTGGGGATGAAAGTTGTGGGATGGTGATGGATTCCAGCATCTGAGCAATCATTTTTAATTTGAGCCAGAAACGGAAGACAAGGGAATTGCCAACATGCGCAGTACAAGAGTATCCCAATTCTAACGGTGTCACTCTCAGGTGTCGACCCCACTAGGATAAGATACTTGCATGTAGGGAAGTTGGATTTAAACTAGGAAAGGGTTTATTGCACCCATGAGTCCCTAGACTATGTTTCAAATGTTAAATTGGTTCTAAAATTTTAAAATATTACTATTATATCAATAACGTTCTTTAATCAGTCTAAATATAAGTCGGTGTTAGCTTAATTTTTATGTGAAATATATTTAAATATGTTTTTTTAATTAATTACTGGTATGGGGTAGTTGAAACTCAATTCACGGCTTTGATCGTGAAAGAAAACGTGTAAACGTACATCAACTAAAACATCATCGACGCTTTCATACAATTATCGAATTCTTATTAATGGAGATAAACAAACATAAATCAAAGGATTCTCGAATTCTTATTAATGGAGATAAACAAACAGAAATCGAAGTATTCATGAACTATATTGATCGGGAGGATTACGAAGAAAGCATGTTCTTACGGGATTGCAAAGCTATCGGATGAACTTTGACAAGATAATCTGCCAGTTCTGGAAAAAAGATTTTCACAAACCTTAGCTACTGTTCATTCCTCATCAACATATTGAAATTCAAAATTACATCAAAGAAGTAGCTTTTAAACTTTCATGGACAGCCAAACAAAGGAGAAAAAGAAGAAGACAAAAGCTTACATCAAAATTCACAAGATTAGAAGAACTAAGAGAACATCGAAACCCTAGAAATAGTACC